GGCTCCTCGGAGGTGTACATCCTTAATTAAAGTTAACCTTCTAGGTTTTTTCCTCTTTGAAACAACCCAGTTTAATTTTGAAGGTCTATATATTTGCCATTTTTATTCATTCACGTATTCAGGATATATATACAGCAAGCTATATATATATCCATAATAAAAAACCATGTCCCCTTTAGCGAAAAATGAATAGGTGCAATCGAACCAACCAAGTTAATTAAAAAATCAGATTTTGGAATCCAGAGTTCGCGAACTATAGGTACATTAACAACAAGACGGATGAACAAACAAAGTCAAACATAAACACAAACGTAAACTTTATACTTAACAAAAAAGATTTTGACGATGCAACACCAAAGAAGACAAAGTATAAATTATTTTTTGCACCGTTTTAACGGGTTAAAAGTCTTTAAATCACTGCATAGACCAATTCACTTCTGAATATTACTTTTGGAGAGATCTTTGCCATCAATATGCTGAGTGATTGATCAAAGGTGTACATTACATTGTAACCGTAATCGTACAACGAGGTCAAAGATTTTGCATAAAAGTTACTCTTTGGTTAGGATTATAGACGGGAAATTCAGTGCAAGAGTCGTTCTTTTACCCTCTTTTAACAACCCTTTTCAGGTATTCACTTTTTAAAATGCAAACTGTTTACAATTGTATTTTATATGTGTGTGATTTACGCCATCCCGATAGTAGCGTGTTAAACTATGATCCTTTAGCTGGTGTCATTCAACGCATTGCGTTAAATGCTTCAATGAAAAGAACTCTTCTGTAGTCCACTTAAATAAAATGGTGGTTAAAATATAAATTAATATGTTAAAACGTTGCATGTAAATAAATGTTTATAAAAATTCACAATAAAATTGTATATTTATAGTTATAAATGATTATTTAAGTATGTTATTTTTGACAAAGATAATTAAACGATTTAGGATAGTTTTAAAGAGTATCGTGGTTTCAAGGACAGTTTCAATGCACTTTAAAAAATATTATTTTGAAACATCTAAGTTTAATAACTAATAAATTATGAAATTGACATGTTGATTTGTAGCATTGACGGAAAAAAGCATCTTAAATTCAAGTGACCTATTTTGATTTGATAAATTAAATGTTTTCATAAAGGGAAATTCATTTCAGAATGGATACCATTTTCATTAACAAATTAATTTCAGTATAAAATATACTAAACCAATTATTATATAACCTTAGTTGGTCCAGTTTTAGGACTGATAAGCGTTGCATGCATGTGAAATATCCCTTTAAAATGCCTCATAGCTTTTTTTTGTCCGATGATATTTCTTACTTTATTTAGATTGACTTTTCTTATTTTTTTCCTACACAGCAAACTAGTGAGACATGTGGCCAAGGAGATGCATACCTTTCATGTCTAAATTACGAGATGTTTCAGTGCATGCATGTTTCCACGTTTCTCAAACTTAAGTATTCTATCTTTCTTCTCTTTTGAATACGTATGTGTTTTAATATATAGACACACATACAAGAAATAAGGCAAGCCTTTTTGACTTCCTTCTATTATATTTTCGAGATCAGTTAAATATGACTGAGTATAGGTGAGACTTATTTCAGAGGTGAGACTAATTTCAGAGGAGAGACTTATTTGAGAGGTGAGAATTGTTTCAGAGGTGAGACTTATTTCAGAGGGAACATGCAGGTAAATAATAATTCTAGTTTATAAACATTGCATAGGATTGCGCAGCGGCAAACGTTTTTTTTTTTTCTTTTTCATTTGACATAAAGTTTATCGCCCCCTTTTTATCTATAAGTTCGACAATCAAAAGGTCGACAGAGGTAAAGAAATATGGTTACCTTGACTTCTCTCAGGAGGTAAAGCGGTCGTCATATTACCTGGCTGTGCGGGATGTATAAATACGGAGTCATATATAATAATAGTTAGTCGGAATGGGAAAGTTAAATCCAATGCAACATGTAGAGAGTGTACCACGCTCTCTGCACAAGTAGCCGCCCTTCACCCCGGTCGACTCACGTTGCAGAACTTCTTATTCGGCATTCATAAATATTTTTTTCTCCTCCTGTATGTGTACTGTTTGTCACTGGACGTTAAGCAAATGACAATTGATCTAATCTATTAGTTCTGACTCACGATTCTCTTCTGTTGACTTCCCATTTAATTTTTTTTTATATATTTGATTGATGATTTTTGTAAGCGTTACATTTACATCAAGTGGTAAATATACCGTCCATATTCGTGACGGAAAAAAAAAATTGGGACGTACGATTCGATGGTCCGTGTAGGAAAACCGCCATAACTCATTCACGTAAGTCGTAAGCGTGTAAGAGAAAACTTGCACTAACGTATTTCAGTGCTTTTAGTTAGTATGCTGCACAGCCAACGTTCTGCCCTAAGGTTAAAAATGATTCATCTTTCACATCTTTTTTTTTAAAATACTTGGGATTTTTCTACCTCATGAATAGATCACCTTAGCTGTATTTGACAAAACCGTTCGGAATTTTGAGTCCTCAATGCTCTTCAACTTCGTACTTTATTTAGCCCTTTTATAAACGTTTTTGATTCGAGCATCACTGATGACTCTTTTGAAGAATATTATTTAATTATATTTATATAAGTCTAAATCGAAAACAACGTTCAAACCTATGATTGCAATGGATAAAAACCGCAATTTCTATACGTGGCATGCAAAAAAATCTTGGTAGAGGGGTCTAAATACAGCACAAACAACATTTTCCAAAAGATCAAAAAAGTGAAAAAGTATATTTATAAGCAAAACGCATTTGACTAACAGGTCGAACAACGGATGTTCTTAAACCCTGATGACTGCCATTGGCGATTGCCAAATAAACGGATCACAAGATGTAACAAAATGAATCTTTATTATTAATTTAATACCAAACCGAAAACAATAAACTTGCGAAAAAGATGGTATACCGCAAACAAAAGGTGCAAACATTAGTACACAATATACGGATTTCGACAATTAATGTCTCTTCAGTGATGTTAGGAATCGAAACGGTATTTGGAAGGCCATATAATTTACCTCAATTTAGGATAGACTCTTGAATTTTAAAGAGTCGAAATAGGATGAACGGATCATATAAACCCGAAGGCAAATATACTTGTATATAATACAAGCCCAAACGAAAAAGTATAAACAAGTTTAAATTGAAAACAACGTTCAAACCTATGATTGCGTTGGATAAAAACCGCAATTTTTATACGTGTGCATGCAAAACAAATTTCTTGGTAAGGGGGTCTAAATACAGCACAAACAACATTTTCCAATAGACCAAAAGAGTGAAAAAGTATATTTTAACAAAACGTATTTGACTAGCAGGTCGAACAACGGATGTTCTTAAACCCTGATGACTGCCATTGGCGATTGCCAAATAAACGGATCACCAGATGTTACAAAATGGATCTTAATTATTAATTTAATACCAAACCGAAAAAATAACCGTCCTAAACATTCTAAGCGTAAAACAAACACCAATCAGACTTCATGTCCTCAACTGTATTGATTGTTTATGTGTTAACCCTCAAATATGCATGAAATATTCGCGACTGCACGTTAGGCTAGCAAAAATCATTCTATCATACCCTCTTTTTCAATGGCTATCTCAATTTTCCGCCATTATCATGCAAGTGCTTGGCCCACTACATATATATAGGACTTATTAAAAAATGTTCGCGTCCTTCAGAATATGCATGAAATATTTTCCACTGGGCGTAAGACAAACAACAATCAATCAATCAAGAGTTTCATACGCCAATGCACCCAATACCTCAAGTTGATCACATTCCATAAAGTATGGCATGTCGTTTTTATTTTAAAAAAAATCATGATTTGTAATTGTGGTTTAACTTTTAAAATCATGATACAATAATTATTAAATTAACACATTTCATAAGGTATTTTTCATGTACACCGAAAAGGGTACAATTTTTGCGGTTTCTATTTAATATTTAAAACAAACAAAAATCTGTTGATTACGGACAAGATAAAATATACATTCAAAGCGAAGTTCAATGCTTTTTACAAGTTATAAACCACACTTAATACAGAACAAAGGTAAGCAAAGCTCGTATTTACGCCCCTTTTACCGTTATATTAATGCAAAGCTAGTTATATGGGTGTGAAAGGTACATTAGTGTGGCGTCCTTTTGGGCGATTAGTGGTATTTCGTTTCCCCACTGGGACAATAAGATACTATAAACTTAAGATTAGATTTCTTACGTCTAAATGAGTAAACAGTTTACAAATCTGTAAACTTACCGTACACAGACCGTAGGAGCCAGTCGCTTTCAAACTACAATGAAGAGGTCTTTTAATTGGCTATTGGCGACTTCTACTCTACTCGATATTTTAAAGGGCAACAGAGGGGAGGTCAAGTAAATATGAAAATAAATAAATATTGTAACATATAGCTATACAAGCTAGGTTTTCACTACTCAATATAAGCGTCTTTATTATAAAATTTGAGAAAAAGTGTAGGTGGATGAAAGTTACAAAGTGCAATAAGTAATTCACTTATCTTGTAACAACAGTTAAGTTCAGACAGAAAAATTATCTTCAATTTACGCGAAAATATTTAGGTTATGTGTATGATGTTTTTTTCATTTAATTTCTTTTTATAGTCGACTCAAGTGTTTGGAAATGTACGAGTTTAACCAGAGACATATATACATGTGTATATATGTCTCTGGTTTAACTATGTCAAAAAAATATTATTTTTGTTTTTGAATGATGACTAAAACTTCTTAAATATTTGAGGGATCTTTAAAAAATAATCTAATGATGAAACGTATAAAAAAATCTTGATTATACTACAGCGTATAGTGATAAGAAAATAAATTACTTATTTACCTTTTAATTGTATGAATGAATATCTAACGGGGCGTGTAAATCTGGTGCGCATACTCGATTAAGAGGCGTGGCTAACGTTTACAAGTATTGACAATTCATATTTCACGTGGTGATTTTTGTACGCCCAATCTATAATGTTCAACGAGCTTTATTTATTACAGTTCGTATTTGTTAAATATTATATTTCTTGCACATATAAGTATTTGTGTAAAGGAAATATTTCTGAAAGGTTGTAACACTCAATTATGGAAATGTATTTTTTGTGATTTACAATATCGGAAGGATCGAGTATTATTATTACAATTAAGTCTATAATTAGCTGTTAATTGCTATGTGATAAATTAAATAAGTGCATTTAACCCGAGGAATACAATTGTAAATTATGGCATATTTATTGAACAAGTAATAATATAAATATTCTTGGATTTTTTTTATCCAATATGACATAGTTTTTGAATTTGTGTGAATACAAGTGTCATCAAATGTAAACGGATTTATTTCTACAAAGCAGCGTGATAAAAATTAAGAAATTAGAAAATGAAAATTTTACTGTTACAATTAACGATTTTGTTTTCAATGTCAACACTGACCAGAAGTTCAAATCAAGAGAAAATAGTAGTGAATGGAAACAAAAATGTTGTAATGCATGAAACATTTCGGACGCTCTTAGGATTTTCAGATTCACCGAAATACAAAAGTAAATTGTTACCACATCCAGGCAAAATAGAGAATGAAGCACCTAAATACATGATGGATTTGTATGAAAGATTCAAGAACAACCAAATAGCAAAAGGACAACTTCTAGGAAACACCGTGCGGAGTATTCAGGCAGATATAGGTATGTGTACTTACAAAATTGGAAGTGTACTGTCGGTGCCGAATTGGTCGTCTTACTAAAAGCTAATTTAAGAAGCACAATTTCAACCTCCTGGATTCAATGGGATAGAATATCAGGATTCATGCTGTCAATACACTTAAAACTTTGTATTTTAAGAATTGCCTTTTTTCCCCTTTTGAAATTGTGGATTTTCGAGTTTTTTAGCTTGTAATTTTTTTCATTCTCACTAAACGGAAAGTAACTTTGAATAGAAATTTACTTGCTTTTGTCTTTAAATTTTGAAGTTCTCCAACATATATATATACATGTTTGTTTTCAATCTCAAACTTTAAACAATGCTGTATAGTACGTGCAGAAAACAACTTGAGTGATACCAAAATCGCAATTAACATGGAACGAACATTGTTCAATTCCATGTACTTTTTGACAGACAACATAATCTAATATATTTCAATGTATACAAATCAAATAGTTTTTGACGTAAACAGATTTATTTTTGCTATCAAATTAAGAGAAACATACATCGGTATGTTAAAGTTTGGTAAATAGCTGAAGGCTTAAAGACTCTTTGTCTCCTCCTTTCATAACGGCAAACTCATTAAATTACTACCGATAGTTTACTAACATTGTACAGATTACATTGCGTACATGTACTGTACATGTATACTTACATCGATAAATAAAAAATTGCCACATGGCTGTCATAATTAAGTTAGCAGAGCAATTTAACCTTTTCTTATGCTTTTACTTGATTGTGCATGTTCTCATATTTGCCATGCCGCGTTGCCAGTTTGTCTTCGATCATTGCTTTTCGTATTTTCCGCCTATGTTCTCCAGGGGAAGTTCTGTGAAGCATGTTCTCCATGTTTAAATGTTATTATCTTCGCCAATTTGACATGTACCCAGACGACTTTTACGATTAAACAATTGAAAATCATTCATTATACCTTTTCGACACCAAATATTTCGCTGATAATTTATGCACCCACCTCTTGACAAGAACTGATGATATTGTTGATTTTCGTGTTATGGTTCAAATGTCCAATGGTATGCGAAGACGGGCGACAAGAACGCGTTGAATCTGACTATCACGAAATCACGACCATCTTATTTGTTTAGAATGGGTGTAGAGACATGAATTTGAAAGATAATGACAAAAGATTTCAAATTACAGTTGCTTGCGACTGTAATATCTAGTGACAACGAAACTTGTAAACGATGCGCTTGTTTTTACTCCTTATGATCCTTGGTAAACAAATATCGTTATCTTTTTTCATTAACCTTTGTTTATCAGATCAACCAAGTAATTTTGAATTTTTTTTTTCATACCATGTTAGAACGTAATGGGTTCGTTCATGAAATAATATAGCTTTGGTCATTAGCGATACGATCATTTGCACGTGAACTTTTAAATTTTTAAACTGTTTTAAATTGTGATGTTCGTCTTGATAGTAATGACAATGCAACTTAAAGTGCATGGCTTTGTGCATTTCAAATTTGACATTCTCCATTATATTTATATACACGCTTAAAATAAACATTGATTTCGCTTCTTGTGAAAGCAGATTTAGAAGGAAATGTTTAATTCTCTCTCTCTCTCTCTCTCTCTCTCTCTCTCTCTCTCTCTCTCTCTCTCTCTCTTGGGGCAGGTAAATGTTTACATAATGATGTAAACAGGGATAATTAAGGATAATAAAGATGCAAATGTACGTACTGTAATGTTTATTCTTCTTTCGCTTCTTTTGAAAGCAGATTTAGAAGGAAATGTTTAATTTCTCTCTCTCTCTCTCTCTCTCTCTCTCTCTCTCTCTCTCTCTCTCTCTCTCTCTCTTGGAGCAAGTAATGTTTACATAATGTTGTAAACATGGATAATTATGGATAATAAGATGCAAATGTACGTACTGTAATGTTTATTCTTCTTTGATGTTATTTCTAATCAATGATGAAAGATAAACAACTCTTACATAAGCTTCAAGTAATCAAATCATGTGCTTACATTCACACACAAATGCAAATCAACAATATCAATGCAATGTTGTACAATACGTATGATTCCAAGTTGTTGTCTATCAAGTTTTCACAAAAATCAACATTGCTTATGCGCAGATCGCGAATATCGCATCCGTTTATCTGATCGCATTTATTGACCGGAATAGTAAACTGATCAATGACAGATAAAACACTTAAAAGACTTAGAATAAGGTAACCCTACGGAGCACCTGTTTTAATGGGACTCAGTTTAGTTTAAAGCACGTTCTGTTTCTGTATGCATTACAAGACTTTTCATAACCTTGAATCGTTTTTCCTTTTTTGGGTATTTTGTTATGAATTTTTATTTTGATTCCCTCTTTTATCAGTTTTTCTGTTGGAATTTGAAAAAAAAAATATCTTTAAAATTAGCATTCTTTCAGCTTATAAGCCTTGCATGCTTTGAGTATTGTACAGGATACCGTACATCATGTTATTAACTACTCTCCTAAATTAAAGGCGAAATAGCGACGTTCTATTAACTCCTTCTATTGACAGGACTATAAAAGCAGCCAAGCAATTACAAATGTGTTGTAAGTTGCATTGTTCATTTCACATAAAATATCATAACTAATCATGAAATATTTGTCATTATTACCCTGGCATAGAGTTGTTAGCTGGATTTTTCAGAACCATTTTCTATCTCAATAACAGTTTGATTTTACACTGATGAGCCGTGAACAAAACTTTAAATTAACATCTTAAGGTTATCCGATACAAAACCATACTGAGAACGAAAAACATTGAAATTTGCATGAATTTTAAAAATCATTTGAACCCGTTCAACCCAAAATGTATTAGAACTAAATGTGTAATTTCACAGATGAGCTCCTTTGAGTATATTTTATAGAAATCAGTGGATTTTGTAGCTAATGTTTAACCAAAACTGAGCAAAATAATCCATAGCGTCGAAAATGACAATATGTTTATTCTTCAAACAATTCTTGAGTGACACTTTGACTAGCTATATAATGATTTCTCTATTTACTCTAATTTCTTTTTAAAATGGTGGAAGGCTTAATTGATAGCAAAGTGCTCCTTTTAAAATAGAATAAAGTAAAAAGAAGTCTTGCATGTACCTCGCTTTCGAGAGACATCCGACTTCACGCTTAGAGAAAACGACTTCTTGCACGTAATAATTTCAGTTTTCCCAAACGAAAAGTGTACCACAAGCATAAGAGAGGACCCCTTGCACAATAATTATCTGTCCTGCAAACTGTGACTAATACACAACCTGCGATAGTTGAGGCAAGCTGAATTGAAGAATAGAATACTCAATAGCGCAGGTGATGGGGCGCTCCGTTCTACAAACTAAGCTAAATACTAGAGTAGGTAGCAGGGCGCTCTGTGCTACAAACTGAAATAAGGATGACGCAATAAGCACAACAAATGTGTGTGTGGGGGGGGGGGGGGGGGGAGGTGAGGGCTATCAATTATCAATTCTTCAAACTATGACAACTAATGCTCAACTAGTGCAGCTAATGTAGATGTTTTATATTCAGTACTGGAACAATGGAAGCATCGCTACCAAAAAGTGTACACCTTATATAAAACGGTGTTTGTCTAAGTGTAGGGATTTAAAATATCGGACAATGGACGTTCAGTAAACAACAATCAATCAATCAATGAAATATTGGAGTGTATTATTAAAACTTTGTGTGTCCATGGAAAAATTGGATTTCCTTAAACTCCTTTTTTTTACATTTTTATTCATGCACTACAATTACTACAGCAAAGAATTTCTGTTAAAAAGCATGAATGAAATGGCAGGATTAACCTTGTTACTACTCCCTGTCTTATCTGATCAAATATTACGGTCAATTTCACAAAGGCGCTTTACGATCACAGTTACGTCGATGTTTTATTTGAATGTAATTTCTGGCGAGCCTGCGGACATAGAAAAAAATCCTTGTTTTGCAAACCAAAGTGCTTAACACTGGCGCGACATTACTTATTGTTCAACAATATCTCCGATTCAAATCTTAATTAGATGTGTAAAATACAACCTTTTTTCATTAAAAATAGAACTTAGCGTTGGAGTTTAACATTTGAAGTTGAAATAAAGACACTGATGATGTTCCTTATCATCAAAGAATTTCCAAGTATTATGCTATGATCAGATTGTGGAGATATTTTTTTTAATGAGTAAACAGTATAAACGTATCAAATATCTTATATAATATAATTGTGTACATTTTGAACACAAAGAAAAAAGTCAATGAAAATGTATTTTCAACTTTTACAATACAATTATCATAAGTTATCTCAGAACTATAAAACTCATTCAGTACAAAGTAAATATGTACGAGGCAGTTTATCTTTTTACAACCTCAAGCAAACAAAAAGAACTCTAAAATTTCATTAAGTATTTCTCTTAGTAAAACAATTATAAATTACATTGTAAACACTACCCAGACAAGTTTGTCAATAACTCGTATCTATAACCGACCTGGGGACAAGCCACTTTCACCTGCGGAAGGTAAGATAAAAGCCACTTTTTATCGGCTTAAGACCGCTTAATTCTATTATCGTGTAATTATGAAATTGACGATGATATGTTGATTTCAGATTGTTTACCTTGCGAGAAATTGTCGTTTACAAGTCTGTCATATTCTTGAATGACAGGGATGACCTAAGGGGCATAAGTATAATTAGTCAATTATTGTATTTTTTCATGTCTACAGCATTGAATGACATATCATTGGCCAGTTGATGTCCATCATGATTGAATTGTTACACATATGAAATTGATATACTGGTGATATTTCTAATAAACCATATGGCCTTAATGATTTATTAATCAAATGTTATATAAATATATTGTTATTATTCTAAATATGGTAATTTAGGATTTGTTTCTTTTTTGTTTGTTAATTTTCTGGTCTAAAGAACACTGAAGCTTTTGAAGTTTTTAATTGATAAGACTTTATTGCCAAATTATCATATAAGTGTTTGAGACAAACAATTATAAA